GGGTCAGACTATAGGGCTATTATAAATAGGGGCTGTATGGATGAACCTTTCATGTGATGCGCGTATAAATAGATCGAATCACAACCCGTGCGACTCTGGCTTTGACACCTACACGTTACATGCTAGCGTATGTGCAGGGACAACCATGAACGCTTGGGGGTCATCGCTCTGCTATGGGCAGCGGCGTCACCAGGGTTGGTGCGGTAACTCACGGTGTCAACCCCATAGACCTCCTCCCGTGCCAGACCATACGGAATCCTTAGTAATGTTTTTTTGTACTAATGTTAGGTAATTCCCGTATATCACAGAATGTAATGACAATGGTAGTGACATAAACCACTAGCAAAATTAAAATTACAATATCATGCGCACCACCGTAATGTATTTACATTTACATAGTTTTGATGTGGTTAAAATGAAAATTCAGCAATAAAACAATAGAATTCGAAGTAAAAACGTTTAAGAAGAACATCAAACTGTAATTATTTTTACATTGAAAATTTACCGTTACATGAGATACATTAATGGATTAGGTTTGTCTAATCAATAACGATGACGGCCCAAATAATGCAGAAGGTATAGAAGTTATCAGTAGAGAGAGTGATATGTGACGATAGCACCTTGGCTTCAATCAATAAAGAGTGATATAGTATGATAGGACTTTGGCTTCAATCAGTAGAGAGTGGTATGTGACGGTAGGACCGTGACTTCAATCAAGTTGTTTTTGTTTTAAGTGGTGTGAGTGTTCGTGTGCGTGTTCGTGTGCGTGTGAGTGTTCGTGTGCGTGTTCGTGTGCGTGTTCGTGTTCGTGTGAGTGTGAGTGTGAGTGTGAGTGTGCGTGTTCGTGTTCGTGTTCGTGTGAGTGTGCGTGTGAGTGTGAGTGTGAGTATGCGTGTGCGTGTGAGTGTGCGTGTGAGTGTGCGTGTGCATGTGAGTGTGAGTGTGCGTGTGCAAGTGAGCGTGAGTGTGCGTGTGAGTGTGAGTGTGCGTGTGAGTATGAGTGTGCGTACCTGCGCGCGTGTGAATGTGTGGTATGCATGCATGTGCGCGCGCTTGTGTGCGCGTATGTGCGTACGTATGGACGTGCGTGCGTGCGTATGCTTGTGTGATGTGCGTGTGCGTGTGAGTGCTTGCGTGTGCGTACGTATTGGAGCGTAGCGTGCGTGGCGTGATGGCTTGTGTGAGTGTGCGTGTGCGTGTGAGTGCTTGCGTATGTGCGTAAACCGTATGGACGTGCGTGCGTGCGTATGCTGTGTTGCTTGGGTGTGTGTGGTTGTATGTGCGTGTGTGCGTGTAGCTGGTAGTTGATAGTCCGTGTGGCGTGTGATCTGCTTCTACGTATGGGACGTGCGTGCGTGCGTATGCTTTGTGTGATGTGGTGCTAGTGCGTGTGAGTGCTTTGGCGTGTGGTGCGTAGCGTATGAACGTGCAGTACGTGCGTGCGTATCGATTGTGTGATGTGCGTGTGGCGTGCGAGTGCTTGCGTGTGTGGCGTGGGTATAGATGGACGTGCGTTGCGCCGGAAGGAGCCGTGTGTTTGTGTGTTTGTGTGTACGGGTGCGGGTGCTCGCGCAGTGTGTAGTGGACGCACACATAAATCGTCCGGTTAAGACAATATAACAGATATTAACAGATATATACAGGGTTATTTTAATAGTCGCAGTCACCGGTTGAGCCTTTTCGTTACACGGCAACAGCAGGCGGATCCGATAACTCTTGCACGGACGAACACCAGCAGTTGCTGGCGATAGGCTATAAGCATACGCGGATCAAAGCGTGATGCTATATAGAAAAGTGAATATTATTAGATCGGATTATTACATGCATGCACACGTGCTGGCAGCTCTCGCCTGCTGCCACTTTGACGCTTATGGCACAGAACGGCGCAAAAACAATTATGCTTGTTCAGGCAGCAACGCGACCGACGCAGTTCATCGCAGGCCCTAATTCGCCCTGATAATTGTATTTCAGCACAGGCAGCGAGGAATGTCCTTAATTAACTGTTCGTGATGCTGGACTATGTATAGACGGAGAAACTATTGGAAGACGTCGGTGATTGCCGTATTGTCCGAGGCATTGTGTAGGTAGTAGTGGCGCAGAGAGACAAACGAATACCAGTAACAATTCGATGCGAGCGATTATTATAGTGGAAGAGTCCTGAGACATATAAGCTATATATATGTACCGCCACGGCGCACGGTCGCACGCACGCACGGAGCTCCACGCGCACGCGTACGCACGACAGCACGCGCACCACACACAACACACACACACAACACACACACACACACACAACCAGCAACACACACACACGACATATATGATATATATATATAATATATGTGTTGTGTGTGTGTGTGTGTGTGGTGTGTGTGTGTTGTGTGTGTTGTGTGTGTGTGTGTGTGTGTGTGTGTGTGTGTGTGTGTGTGTGTGTGTGTGCCGTGTGGTGCGTGTACACAAAAGAAAAAGAGGGGAGAGACTTGGTGGCGATACAGCTATTTGCCCATTTATTGAAAACATATGACAGGTACAAATATATGGGGTGAGTAGCCCAGCATACGAGACAAAACCCCCGTTTTCTATCTATATAAATATTTTATCATCTATTTATATAGGAATGGGTAGCCGAGGCAGCGTATAAACAATATATACGTGGCTCTGGTGGTTAGAGAACCCAAATCGCCACGCGCGCTTACCCCCTAGCAATTCGCCAGCTATAGAGTTAGTCGGGATGAGTTTTGGGGTTGACAACACTCACAGTCTGCGGCCCTATGAGGCAGTCAGTGCGATTCCGCGTCCAACTTGTCATGCTGTCTTTGAGAAAAACTTTTCATTCGACGAAAGCTATGGAACGATACGAGTGAAGGATGTGATCGTAGATATAGAATAGCAGACTCAGCGGCCCTGTTGTGTCAGTAAAGCAAAATTGATACGTTCTAAGAATCAGCACCATAGATATAGGATTACAGGGGCCCGNTCTTCTCTCTCTCTCCTCTCCTCTCTCTCTCTCTCTCTCTCTCTCTCTCTCTCTCTCTCTCTCCCTGCGTCTCCCCATTCCTCGCTTCCTTCCTCACCCTCTTACTCGTGCTGTTCCCCACGACCATGGGCGTAAATACTGGGGTGATAGGGGGGATGCATCCCCCCGCTCTTGAAGGAGGGGAGAAGGCCTGTACAAATATCCCCCCCTAAGATTTAAAAAAAAAACTCCTTCCTCCGTGCCCCACTTGAAAGTCTGTCTTGCATACCATGCAATAGCCATGATTAACACTGAGTTTTGACTTCACAAGTACAAGCCACATCTGTGTATATTCGTTCCTGAATTTCTGTAAAAGTCGGGTTTTTTGGATGGCAATGGCAATTGGACGCCATTCTCCCCACGTGTTAATCTGATTAGCAGACAAACTACGCGACACCTAGCAGACAGCGCCTGTCTGACTCGGCTGTTCCATTTACCGTAGACATGCCAGATACAACATGCATAGAAACAGATTATAACACTGAGCGACGGTAGGGGTGCAAAACTAAGGTAATGGCAGAGCGTGCATTTCCAAGAAACGACTCGCGCAGTGAGTTTATAATTATTTTATTTTATTAAAGTAATTTATTTCATATTAAAATCTATTTGGGGAAATGCATAGGCTTTGCATATTAAGAGCATTTCAAGAGAATTCATGTTCTTTGTAACTGCGGGTTTAGTAAGTAGGCCTAACTAGAAATTACAGATCAATATTCACTCTCACATATTGAAATTAACAAATTTAATCACGTAGCCTACTATGGTAAATGACACACACCAAAACACAAACATACACAACACAGTAACTAACATAGTTCAGCTAATTATGATAATTTGGAGACATGGGCAGACCTAAATCATTTCAATTACTGCAGGGGCGTGTACAGTGGGGGGGGGGGTCCAGGGGGTCCGGACCCCCCCTGCTCGCGCAGAAAACGCATCTGAGGGGGTCTAATTTCAAAAAAATTACCATACCCCCCTTCGCGTGATCATCCCCCCCACTCCTCGGTACGGATTTACGCCCCTGCCCACGACATTAATAGTACGGAAGATGACATGGCATCAGTAGGCTGGCCGTTTTAAGCGAAAACTTTACACCCTCAAAAGTACAAAATTTGTAATTGGCGTGTATAATACACGTGCGTGCATGTTATCATTACGTCACATAATATCGCCCATTTCTAAAGCATGGAACCAGCATAAATTCGCCTGTGAGAATATTTACTTGATGTATTTTGGCAAATGAGGTGCTATTAGAAGCGTACAGAACTGTAGATTTTAGTGGTGCTACTTATATTCCAAGGCATAAACAATATATTTAATACAAACTAGAAGTAAAACTGAGTTCAACGGCAAGCGGTTGAAAGCCAGTTTGGTCCCCAACTGGATGCTGTCACAGTGTGGAATATAACATTTCACGAATTAAAGAATTTGCATAAGGAAGATATAGTTGTTTATAATCACAAACAATAACAAACAAAAACAATACAAAGAAATACAGAAAGCAGAGAAAAATAAATAAAATCTAAAGGACTCGAACACGGTTCCTTACAGGTGCAAAACGTACACGCTACCAATGAGCCAATGAGTCAAACAAAATTTTTAAACTTATAAGAGATACTTATAGCTTTATCTCGCTCTAAACTGAACATTCGCTTTAATCTTAACTCATAACTCTAACCCTAATCGTAACCCTAACCCGTATCCTAAAATCTAAACCTATCTGAACGAGGTTTCAACATTTTGCTCAAATTAATTATTTCAGAGGTCATAATGCACGCATCAACGGAAGTGGTTCAAACAAGCTGCGCGCGCAGCTATTTTTCTAATCCCTTTCTCTATTGGTTCCCACGTTTACGCAGGCGCCCGCCCTCTTAGTTACTCGCTGGGGGCTAGCGAGTAAAGTTCTAAGCCGAGAGGTGGGAGCGCGCACCAGTCTACCTAGCTGACTACCTGAATAATCTCGCGAGATCACGCGATATTAACCAATTGCAGATGTGGAGAGTATGGGAGTTTTAAGCTACGCCAGAAGAGGCGTCGCCGTTTTCTTTGAATATGACACGCCAAGAATTGTTCACATCCGTAGCAAGAAGGTTGGAGTCATCAATCGAATTATACAGTTCCTCATTGTCGCTTACATCGTCGGGTATGTACAGTAGTACTACAGATTATATTCACAGAGATGTCAAGTTTGAGAAATGGTTGAGAGTGAGACTCAGAGTTTGACGGAGCGAAGCGACCAAGGGTTGGGGGAGGGGGGTTTCCCCCTCGAAATTTTCGAGCTTTTCGAAATTTGAGGTTTGAAATGGTGCAATTTAGTGCATACCTATGGTATGATTTATTGCCTTTATAAATATAAGTTCTTACTCATTTTCAATGATTAGAAGTAATCAAGTATTGCCACTATTGGGAAATATGAATTGAATTTTTGTATGACTCAGCATGTGTGTCAGATAAGTGTCATGACTCATGCCACTTTATCACAGTAAAAGTGCAAGCAAGCTGATAATTGAAAAGTAAACAAAATACCTCAGTAACCTGCAAAGCCATCATCCAGGCGGGATATTGGATTCTAAGCAGGCAAATAAAATGCGCTGTGGCTATATGCCCGGCAGCCGGGCACGGTCTTCGTTTTCCTAAATGCCCGGCAGTTCTTAACCCTAAACCTAACAAAAACCCTAACTCTAGCCCTAAACCTAACCCTAACCCTAACCCTAATCCTAACTCTAACCCTAACCCTTGTTTACTTTAGATAACGCTAAAAATTAAAAACTGCCGGGCATTTAGGAAATCGAAGACCGTGCCCGGCAGCCGTCAGATATACGCCGGCTGCCGGGCATATAGCCACTGTGAATAAAATGCGCGCCGCGCTGCTTATAGCGTATACGTATTATACGTATACGGCCGGAGCGAGCTATAGCTATTGCGGGGTTCGCTGTTGATCGGGTCTTAGCCTTCCGATACTAGTACTAGTAGACTGCCTTACTGGTATCTGGGACTGAAAATAGTGGGTTTTAATTATTTATTTATTGATTTTGATTTTTGCGTGAGAAATTTAGAGATGAGCGAGAGAGCGTGAGAATTGACCAAAATGCGTGAGTCTCACTTAGCTACGGCTAACGGGCTATAGTTACTAGAGCTAGGATATAAGAGCTGTCCCCAATGCATATTCGCAAATGTGCGACATGTGCAAATGTGGTCAGCTCTTAATTGTATCCTTGGGCCGTACTTTCGACGTAGTAGTGTCGACCAGGTGTACAAATGTGCAGTTATTAATTACGCAGTGGCTACGCGTCCGGAACCGGTCGCCTAGCCTCCAGGCTACGCATCCGGACATCCACTCACACAGTGATCGCGCGACTCGCGTACACTCATGATTGGCACACGCATGGCACATTTACAGTTGGTGATGTGTGTGAACCGGTGTTTGAATGGAGAGTTCACGTCTCTCGACTATAGTGCAGTATCGTGAAATATGTGAGTTATTCGATATAACTTCAAACGTCGTTGCAAAGTAACAGAAAGTAGTAGTACATGGAGATCGTATCATCTGCCAAGAAATTTTTTTATTTTCCTGCTGTGGCAAATCTTTGGCCTACAGTACTGTTCCAAAAATATCTTGAACATTTTTTACGTAACGCAGCAGCTGCATTATTTTCACACTGAGATTAAATGTTTACACACGCATCTCTCTGCTCATATCAATCATGCCTTGGTGTTAAAGCTGTTAACTAACTGAGGTTACTTTTAAATAGGTCGTGCATTTACTCCCATAGATCTTCCAATAGTCTTCGTGCTTCTCTCCCTGTACTTAACGCTTCTCTGCCCGTACTGTCTAAACCTTCTCCCACAAGGGCAGCTTTTATTCTTCAATCTTCACTTTCTCGATGATTTCATGGTCCTATCCTCATCCTATACTTATCCTACTGCCCTCCCCCTTGTACTTGGTCTCCTCCTCCTCTCTCCCCATGTACCAACCTTCCTCCCCTCTCTGGCACTCACACTCGTACACCCTTTCTCTGCCCTTCCTCCCCCACCCCCTCTCCCCTCACAGTGCCCTGCTCTAATTTCTAAACTCGATGCTGTTTCTCGTCAGTAATTTATATTGGGTTGAAGTGCGCATGTTGACGTCACGAGTCGGGTTCAGGGTGAGGATGAATGAATGTTGTGCCAGAGCAACATCTGTTGTGCGCGTGCGTGTGCGGTGCATCTCGAGTGCTTCAGCGTCGTGCCTGCGCTTCTCCGTGCGTCGGACCTTCCATAAATCATCGCCGTGCTGCGTGCATCACGATCGACGAAGTTGGAAACCCAACTCTCTAATTAGCACTCCTCGCACAGCCATCGTTGCAAAAGTTAAACGGATTAATTTTTTTGTGCTGGAATTTGAAAACGGGCGATCGTGCTATAAATCTTTAGTGATAGAGAGAGAGAGAGAGAGAAAAGCCACTTGCGTGCCCGCATTCCGTTGGCATTCATCTTCCGGGGAAAACTCCGGAGAAAAACCCGACTCCGCCGGAGAGGAAACATCGGTCGCGCGGCATCGCCGCGGCAACGATCGACGCGTGCTGCCGGCGGCGCAGACATGGATGTGCTAGCGACGGTGGCTGACGGGGAGTTTGAGTGCACCTTCGCGGCGTGTGCGCGCGGCAAGGGGGGCCGCTGCTGCTGCTCACTGTTCGACTACACGACGCCGCGCTACGTGAACATACGCAGCCGTACGATCGGCAGCATCAATGTCCTCCTGCAGCTACTCATCGGCACGTTCGTCGTCGGGTGCGTGGCCCGTAAGGGGCGTCGGTGTGGGTGGCGGCGTGGGTGGTGTGTGTGGCTCGTAAGGGGCGTTGGCGGTGGTGTGGGGGTGAGGTGGGGGTGAGGTGGGGAGTGTGGAGGCGGAGGCTAGAGTGAGTAGGTGAGGTGTGGAGGGGGGGAGTGTCGGGAGCTTGGTGGTGTGGAGAGCAGTAGATGGTGTGGAGGGAGGGTGCGCAGGAGTAGTGGGTGGCATCATGGCATGGAAGCAGTAGGTGGGGTGAAGCGAGTGTGGCGTAGGAGCTGTGGGGTTACGACCTGGCTGGCGTTTCGTTCTATCGTGTTGCCTCATCCCCTCCCTCCGCTCCTCTCTTCCTCCTCGCAGGTACGTGATCATCTACAGTAAGGGCTACCAGAAGTTTGGCGGCATCGACAGCGCGGTGACGACGAAGGTGAAGGGGACCATCTACACGAACGTGAGCGGCCTCGACCCGCTCTACAACAACCGCATATGGGACGTCGGCGACTACATCCAGCCCGCGCAGGTACGCAACATGTTGCAGTTCGTTGTGGTGTTGTTGCAGCTTGTTGTAGCTTGTTGTAGCTTGTTGTAGCTTGTTGTAGCTTGTTGTAGCTTGTTGCAGCTTGTTGTAGCTTGTTGCAGCTGGTTGCAGCTTGTTGTAGCTTGTTGCAGCTTGTTGCAGCGTTGTTGTAGCTTGTTGTAGCTTGTTGCAGCTTGCTGCTGAGAGTTCTCATGGCTTGTTGCTGCACTTTGCGGCTTGGGATATCTAATTGTGGCTCGGCTTGGCATGCTGCAGTTTGCTGCGCGTTGTTGCAGCTGGTTGCGGCTTGTTGCTACGGCGCGTTACAGGTTGTTGTTGTTGTGACGTGTTGTGGTTTGACGTGCGTTCGCAGGAGAACGGGGCGTTTTTCGTCATGACGAACGTGATCATCACGCCGAACCAGACGCAGGGAGAGTGCGCCGAGGACCCGGCCATCATGCCCTGCGACACGGCCGATAACTGCACCGCGGGCGAGCAGACGCCCAACGGCAACGGTGAGTCACCCGCCCTTCGTCCGTCCGCGGCGGTGGTACGGGCCGGGGTCCCGCGGAACTGGGAGAGTCCCCGGAATTTTCCCCCCGGAGTTTCCGGAATTCCGCGACTCCCTTCCCCTTTCCGTCCGCGGGGTTCGGGCCAGGGTCCCACGCGACCAGGGAGAGTCCCCGGAATTTTCCGGAATTCCAGTGTCGATTTACGCGGGGGCAAGAATTTATATTCATTAAGGACAATTTAAGTAAAATAATGTAAATTAACTAAATGTTTGCGTTCTATACATAACGTTTCTTGCCTGACGCAATTCTGTTTCTCACGTACCGCTGATGTTCCCCCCTCTCGCACGTGTTCTCCTTCCCGCTTTTTGCGCCATCGCGTTCTCTTCGCGCTCTCACTCTCTCCCTCAATCTCTCCCCCCTCTCTCGCTCTCCCTTTCTCTCTCGCTCTATCTCTCTCTCTCTCTCTTCCTCTCTCTTCGATTATATATATATATGAATATTTATCTCGAGCCGCGTGTAAACCGTGTCGTTGTTGTTTGCAGGTGTGATGACTGGAGAGTGTGTATCGTACCCGCCCGAGCCCACGCTGCGGTCGTGCGAGATACACGCATGGTGCCCCGTCGAACTGGACGAGCTTCCCCTGTGAGCCACCGCCGCGCGCGATTCCTTTATTTATTTTTAGTTTATATTAGACGAGGAGGAAAAAAATTGGTAAAAAGTCGGCAGCTTCTGTGCGACTAGCTGGAAGCCATGCGAGCGTGCCGACGCGCGGGTGAAAGGCGGCAATGTTTGCGACGGCGACGCGCGGGTGAAAGGCGGCAATGTTTGCGACGGCGACGCGCGGGTGAGAGGCGCGTGGTTTTTTGCGACACGTTCGCCGGCGCATCCGCCTTCTGTTTAAACTCGAGTTATAATCGATTAATAAGCGAGTTAATATAATACCCATGTGGCTGACAGACGGACAGATGGACAGACAGACAGACAGACAGACATATGGTAAGACAGACAGACAGACAGACATACGGAGAGACAGACGGACAGGCAGACGGTGGTGTGGCCGCAACCTTACGTGATTTACTAATTTTCTTTCAGTGAGGAGGCACTACTGAAGAATTCTTCTGTCTTCACAGTCCTCCTCAAGAACAGCGTAGAATTCCCACAGTTTGGGATAAAGCGGTGAGACGACAATATTCCTTAGTAATATACAGATTACTGATAAAAATAACTAGAAAAAATAAAATGAATAAAATAAATAAAAATGTACGGAGTAAACGATGATGATGTAGAATAAGTTGATGTTAAAGTTAATGATGATAAAGAATTAAAGATGTAGAATTACGTTTATCCCCGAAATAGTTATAAGGGGGGGGGGTGTACCTATCTAGATATATAAACTATGTATAACCTATGTATAAACTATGTATAATCTATGTTTAAACTATGCCTATAGTCTATGGATTAGGAGATGAGTGGATTAACGAGCAGCGTTAACGAGCATCGTTAACGCGCAGCCTTAACAAACCCCACAGTGTGGCCTCGCAATGTTTACAGCAGCTTCACAGCACGCGATTCTCTCCCCGCAGTTTTACCGCGCGCTCTCGATAACAAACCCGAGGCGACCGAAAACAAGCGGCGCAGACCGAGCGTTTATTTGCCTCGCATGCGCCGCGCGACATGTTGTCACCAGATGTGTGCGTGACTCTGGCGTGTTTACGACCCGGGACCCGTCTCGATCCGCGAGACTCACCGAGCGGCGAGAGCGAAGGGTTCGCGGCGGCGGACACTAACGAGCGATTCATCGGTTAATTACCGTCGAAGCGGCGGATCTCCTACTCGCATCGTTACATTTCATCTGTTAATTATCGCTGCCATGCGTAGCCGCCGTAACGGTGGTGCGTTCTGCCTTTCCAAATCGCGGTTCTCTGACTCGTATCATTACATTCCAACAGTTAATTGTCGCTTCCTTACGTTGCTGCGGTAATGGTGGTCGACTTCGTTCGTCAAAACGGCGGATTTCCGTACTTGCGTCGATTTGCATTCGCCGCGTTACCGGGCGGAGTTCATGCAGATTATAGCCGACGAGTTTAGACGGGTTCGCGGCGAGGCGGATAATAATTTTGTTTTTTCAATAAAGTAAATAAAAATTTACGCTCGGCCGTAAATTAAACCGCCGCTCATCACGTCCTTCTGGGATACGGAACGTAAGTTTCCGCAGCTGTTAGGAAACACTGCGAGGAATGCGTAAACATAATAGACGCGCGGCGGTGGGGGTATGCGAGCGTTTGTAGGCGGAGCGATTACCCGGATGCATTGCAGATGCATGATGATGCTAGTTAGCTTAGATAATATTGCTCCTTTTTTATTCACGATCACGGTAGCAGACGATCGGCTCCTGTGCGAGATACAGCGCAGGCGCAGCCACACGCGGTTGTTTTGAGTAGCGAGTAAAAAATTGCTGTTTTGAAAAAAACGAGAATTGAAACCGTGCTGGAAACTTTTTTCGCTCTTTGGCCGAGATGGGTGAATCGTACGTAAATCTAGAGGGTTTCATGTTAAGCTACACGATGCAAGTTACATGATGAGTTTTAAAATGGTACACCATGCTAGCATGCTTCATGTTAAGCTACACGATGCAATGTTACACGATGCTAGTTACATGACGAGTAAATGGTACATCATGCTAGAAGCTACACGATGCAATGTTACGCAATGCTTGTTGCATCGTGACTGAATCGGGATGCAAAGTTACTTTGTGCTAGGTTATGAAATGATACTAGCACCAGTACATAATGCTGGCATGTGCTGAACAATTACACGATGTCTGCATAGATGCAGCTAACGCACGGGCGGCCAACCAGCGATTGTCAGTCGAAAAATTTGTCGGCCCGTGTTGCGCAACGAAAAAATTGCCCATACGCAAACTGTCGCTGCCGCAAAGCGAAAACCGTGTTCTCGTTCCCCTCCCCACGTTTCGCCCTGTGTGAGACTTGCGTCTGACGAACCTCCCTCCATTCTGTCTGCGTCCGCTTTTGCAGACGAAACATTCTCAACACGATGGACTCTGAGTTTCTGCACAAGTGTCGCTACGACCCGAACAACGCGACGGCGAAGCTGTGTCCGGTGTTTGAGCTCGGCGTTCTGGCATCGTCCGCCGGCCAGGATTACGCGAAGATGGCGATAAAAGTATGCGACTAGAGCTGTGCGTCGGATCCGACATGAACCAAACATCCGATCCGACAGCATTTAAAAAAATCCGAATCCGAATCCGATGGCTATTTTGAATCCGATCCGAATCCGAATCCGATGGCAATTTTTGAATCCGAATCCGAATCCGAATCCGATGTGTATCGCTAAATCCGATCCGAAATCCGATCCGAAATCCGACCCGAATCCGGAACATAGAAATTGCAAATAGTGTGACAGCATCGTATAAAATTCGTGTTATAATTTGTTTCAACATGAAACTTTGGGTTGTTGAGATCAAGGGGTGAAGGGGGACTGTAGACGTAAGAAAAGTTAGAGAACGGGATGATGTGAAAAATGTGATGAATTTGTGACTGTCCCGACTCCCTTCAAATAATCATCTTGACAGTAAAGCCCGCCGCACGCGCGTGTGCGCATGCAAACGCATCGATTTCACATCGTGTGTGTGTGACAGTGTGTGTGTGCGTGTGCGTGTGCGTGTGCCTGTGCGTGTGTATTTGCGTGTGTGTGTGCGTGCGTGCGTG